ATTATTGAATTTATGAAGATTTACGCTATTGAACGGGTACGAAAGTCTGGGAGAAGAGACGTGTCCAGCGAAAAGTACTCAAATGCGCAACACAAATTTATTCCTGTTGGAGCTCGCTAAGAGGTATTTTTTTCGAAAACCAAGCACATTATTGAAATTCTCGCGATTTATGCTATCGACTGGATATTCAAAGGCGATGGTTTGATGCCAATATTACGAAATTCATGCACATACCGGTGGAAGGTATGCGGGCCGCATGTGAAATGGAATCTTAATCTAAGTGTTGCAGCGCAATGATTAGTCCTTTTTTCAGAAAGACAAAAGCGCTATTATATTTCCCAGAATTTCTGCCATCGAATGAATACTGGATTATTTGTAGGAAAGCATTGCTTGGCAAAAATGTTTGAGTTTGAAATAAAAGTGTTTTTCTCTTCCTTTAGCTCTTTAGTAAGTGTCACTTGAGACAAATTCTGATCACTCTCTATTACACTGCGTTGGACAAGTATAAAATCGATGCCTTGTGAATAAGATTTCATGACCGAATAAAAGTTTACTTTTCATTTAGTGAACTTCAACAGAAAGTTCAGCCTGTGTCCCAACTCTAATGCTCTGTGCGCTTGTGCTTCAATATAGGTGCTTTAATGTGCGGTTCATTCGTTTACCTATGGACACTATTTTGTCCAATTTCAGGTCAGTGAGTTCCACAGATTTTCATCACATATACATATTCGATAGCTATTAAAAAGTATTTCGAAGTAGAAGAACCAAAAAAGTAATTTTTCACATTCAATGAATTACGAATACCTTTCAAAAAACCCCCTATCACTAAATGAGGTAACAATCAATCCTCAATTTTTGAATCATAGGAAGCTTCTTAACTCTCGGAAAAGTAGGAAGTCCGCAGCTGATATCCGTCCAGTTAGTCAAAGATTACTTTCCGTTACTGGTTTTGGTAGTAGAGTGTGAAGTTAGTTCTGCGACACTTGTAAAAAAGTGGAAATTTATGCATGAATTTAAAACAAAAACGATGATAACTATTCTTCAAAATGATGGCAATCGTTTCCTACGACTTTTTGTCATCGGTATGTTGTTGTGCCTTAGCCTTCAATTTGGTTGTTTAATTGACTGCAACTCTCTGTGAAAGAGCCTTTCTCCAATAATGACGCAATAAAACACGAACTTCAATTGTGTCGTTGAAGATGGCGGAGGCTTGTAACAAAGTGAAAATAACGACGAATAATATCTAGACCTTCACCGGAAAAATCTCACATAGATAACGATACTATTCCTCCGAAATGCATGGGAATTATTTCTTGCTTATCAAAGTGCTTGGAACTTTCTTTCCAACCGTAGTATATGTTTTCGCGCACACTCATACTTCAAGAATATACAAATTTATTAGACTTTGTAGCATTACATCTGCAAAATTCATTGAAAATGAATGAGGAAATGAAGCATATAATTGTAAACGGTGTTCAAATCTTTAATAATTCAAATTAAGCGCACAGTGGTGTCTAATGGCATCTAATAAACCACCTAACGTGAAAAAAAAACAAAGCCAAGTTTGATAAATTTCAAAAACTGAACCTGAGACATATTTCGATATATATGTGTGCATTAAAACAATAACACAGAATGATGACAAGAAAAGCCTACGTAAAATTCAGCCGATAATAATGAAAGATCTGGAGAAATTTGAGAGAAAGAAAATGTTCATCACTCGCCGTGACCCCATTATTCAACTGTTATTGAAGCCTTCAGGAAAAGGTGGCATGGTTGAAACTTATAGAGTTCAATAAAAGATTCAATCTCATCACTTGAAGTTTTAGCCCAGATGCGACTGCTGACATTAGCATATGGAATTCAATTTGTTCACCAACGATTACGTTAAGTTGAGCGGATAGAAAAAAACTTGCGAAATCGATGTCATAAAATGCGAAAAAACGATCATTGCAAAAGTGAGAAAATTGGGAAATAAGACGATTCGTGAAGGCGATGTACTATGTTGAGCTTCGGCTTCTGAAATATTTCTGTTTCAAAGACAGAGCAAAGAAAAATGCATTTTTTGTAGAACCATTGAAATTTCTAATAAAGATATTCGCTAAGTGAAGCAGATGAGATACTTCGACAATATTTGTACAAAACAGTTGGTCGCGAGGTCTTCCACCGCTATAGAATCTTTTGGAAAATATTCCTGAGAGCTGTGCTTAGTTTATGGCGTTCATCTTTAGAAAAGTCAGTCGCGCGATATACGACCATCAGCTGCATTATTTGTCGATCTTTTGATTATAACAAGTGTTTGAAAAATGCGAGAATTTAAATCTGAAAATGGTGGGCGCAGGATGTAGAAGCTTGACTACAACTATTTTTTTTTGTTATATTTTCTCCTCTTAACAAAATATGGCAAGCATGCTGCTCTTGTTAGAAGCTAAAAAATATCACACTTGTGATTTTTCCAAGGTTCCTCAGATTGGTTCCTTTTAAAGCCGCCTTATACCTTTTTTCTTTCACTTTTCCACTCTTCCGTCAATAAATACAGGTGATATAAAGAAAAAAAGGCAAGAAAGCTTTCATTCTCGACCGACTTCCTATCTCAAACTTGTCAATATATTCATCTGTCCCTCCTCATTAGCATTTCCTTCAGTGAAAAAAGAGTTGTCTGACATCAAATGTATTGAAAAGTCGGTCATTTTGGATTCCATCACCCGCTCAGTGATAGAAATATAGCAGAAAGATGTTCGAATAACTCTATTTCACGTCTTCATCGACCAGTCTATCCTTAATCAAATTTTCCTTTCGATTTATTGTCGTTATATAACGTTAAGCGTATCCCCTAACTCTCTAGAAATGGAGTGCGTTTAGAACGCTGCTGACTAGAATTGAAGATCACCCACCAGGAAAATTCAGAGAAGCGGTGCACCACGGTGAAACTGAACTTCTACTGTTTGACTACAAATAGATATGCCAACAATTCAACACAATTTGTCAGTCGATTTTTACGGATTCGGATTGGAAGTACATGTCCTCAGTCTAAATCCACCGTTCGTCTTTCAAACCGATGATGTGAGACCACACGAAATAGCTCAGTGGAATGAAAGCGCTCATGCAGCAACATTTAGCAAGGCTTTCAAGATCTACGATTTTCGAACTTCTTCAGTGTGAAGTAGTTGATCGGCGTCAACCAAATTGCAAAGAAGTAGTTTATGGAACTGTTCTAACGTCATGTAGCGAACATTGCAATGGCGTATGATGATTGTTTGACCGTACGTCGAGTGCAAAAAGTTCGTCGTCGATTTCTCTGTGTAGGCGTAGATCCCCGAGAAACTGACTAACGAAAAGGCACCGTGCAATTGACGAGGCTGTAAGGCTAAAACACGTGTCTTACACTGTATGAGTGCCATAACAGACTTCATGAGCGGACGATGAAGCTTATCGCGCATGTCGTCCATTCAGGATACTTTTCCAAGCATTTCTATGCGCGTTGTGTTGATGTGTGCAAATCCAGGGAGGTAAAATTGAAAGAAAATAAACAACGCACTGTTGACATGTACAATCTGACTAGCTCGTTGATGACGACTCTCGCAAGCATAATCACCATCGTCTTCCATAGTCGCTTGCCTTATTCGCACAGTGTGTACAATGACGCCAGCAGATCGTTTCACCTTCCATATATACTCTGAAATCAAAGCTTTTTTGCAGTACAAGAAAGTGGCTTCATTTTGACCTCACTTCATATGGCCAAAAGTTAAACCTGCAGTTACCATAATGCACTGACGAGACTTCAAGGAGTGTCAATGTTCCCTACAAATAAGATTGACCCAGTGAGCACAAGATGAAGGTCTTAGAAACGAGAAAATCTGGTCTTCTCTAACTCTTGGTTAATTGCAAATAAAGAAATTATTAGCTAATACACGGGTAAGAAAAACCAGAGCGAAGACCATGATGGTGGTGTGCAAACGAGCGCGTCTGCAAACAGGGTAATTATGGTTGAGTTCACAATACATAAATCAAGTTCTAAGTTTCGCTCGCATCTCAGCATTCTTGTGAGTACATTTCACCTCACACCGGTTGTTAAGAATGAATTAGGCATAAAATGCTAAGACAAGAACATCACTATTATTCTTTGTGGTGAGATTTTTGTGATTTTGATAATCGTATGGACAGATGAACGCCACCATTTTAATACAGTGCTTGTTGGCTCGGTTCTAAGATTATTCGGAGCATAGAAACTATTCAATCATATGATTTCAAAAATCTGTTGAGCTAAGTAAAGCGATCATAGATGTGTTTTATGTTTTCGATAGGTTCGAGAAGCGATATGTTTTCACAGCTTTTTGCAGTGTTCTGATAATTCGAATATATCTAAGAGAACTGAGTGGTATGCGAAAAGTCGACTTCAGACGGAATTCGAACCCGCGCTCCACCCATACCGCGTAAAAAATATCATGTTAATCAGTGAATATCAGAAGCAGTCAGAATATCCATGCCGTTAATTGACGGTCAACAAGTATTCGCACATTCCACATAATGAAACGTTGACGATATTCATAGAATCTAAGATAGAGACGTCTTTCCATGGCTGATTTTCGCACAAGAATGTTGTATAATGCAGCTAAAACTACGAAAATTTTTATAATCTTTTGAAAATTACTACCCACAAAATTTGAAAAAGAATATCACTTATATTCATAATCTGCAGCAAATCTTTCGACTTCATAATTTTCCGGAGTTTGAAAAAAATTGATAAAAATTAGACCATTTTAAAAAGATGTGCCTAAAATATCGGCATTACGCTAGTTCAAGTTTCAAAAAAGCGTTAATAGATATGTTCAAAAAATCTTATGTTTTCACAGCTTTTTTGCAGTGTTCTGACAATTCGAATATATCTAAGAGAACTGAGTGGTATGCGAAAAGTCGACTTCAGACGGAATTTGAACCCGCGCTCCACCGATACCACCAACTATCATAAAGATACTGAAGAATGAGGATGGCGAAATGGTGTCTCTACGATGCAGTGGTAGCACGCGTCCCTGGTATGGTGGAACGCGGGTTCAACTCCCGTTTGAGGTAGACTTTTTGCTTGCCACTCAATTTTCTGCGGTAACTAGATATATTCAGGATATTGTTGAAAATCTAAATTTATCCAGTAAAGTAAATGCTGGAAATATCTGAATTTGTCTAACAAAATATTAACTTGATGGAATTGAACATTTGGTGTGCAGACTAGCTCGTTATGAAAGTGTTATTGATAGATGTTTGAAACGAATCGTAATTTTCAGATTGTGGAACACGAGTCAGAAACAGCAGATGGCTCAACCTCATCAGACGCTAACAGGATTAGTGGAGTAATAACATCCTGTTGTCAAAAAGCAGTAGAAAACGAACGTAGATAGTATTTGCATTCAAAGGTACAGTGTCGTAAACTATATAAAGCTCATATGGATCACTTGGATAGAAGGCAACATTCTTCAACCATTTTTGCGGCACTTTCTCCCATGTTCCCTACATCCTGACGAAATTTCTTGTCGACCAATTGTGGATGTTCTCTGATTACTACTCATACTGCTCTTTATACTCAATTGTCCACACCATCGGAGAACACGTTCGCCCGTCAATCTCATTATGCAAATGTCAAATTTTGCGCTTACGTGATTTCATTGGACGAACTCCATCTTTAATGCACTGAATGCATTGAAGCCTGCACAGGTAGAGATATTCAAAGATTCAGGTTATAAATGCAACATGGGAACGTGTCGGAACATGCGATCAAACCTCAGCCCCTAGGTACGAGTTTTAATTGCTTGTCGTTCTAACTCTTTTATAACTCCCTGAAGTTGCAGCTGACTCACGCCTAATATTCAACGCCTCAGCACACTCAGCGTCAATTATAGAGATAGTTTTATGCCAAATCCTTACATTAATACGGGTTGATAAATTGCGTCTCGCTTAAATAGCGATATCTATGTGTGCTGGTTTCATGGATTGTTTTTTGCGAGACACGAAAGATGTAAGGTTTACCGAGTTCTTGATGAAATTATCGATCCATCGTTCGGCCATCAGAAAAAAAATTGAAAAAAAAACGACAACGATGAATGGATGGTAGGAGTACGTATCGAAACATAGGGAGTAGAGAGTCCGGCGCCGAATAGAGTGAAGCATTTGGCGTCGATCAATCCTATACAGGTGCTTCATGCCGTCGACCTCATTAAACACAAGCATAAGGACTGAGCGCATATTTAGCTCATACACTGGCCTTCGATAAATTAGCAATCTATCAAACCAGTTTTTTACCTTCGTAGACAAATCTGGCACAATTTTTCATGGAGATGAAGCTATAACGAGACCAGTTAGACAAAAGGGCAAGTGAACAGCTTATTCAAAAAGCATATCTATTTACTCACTGAAAATAGGACTCAGTTAGGCCTATGGAGGAGTTTGATTAATCACGGATTCAATCACTCATCAATGTTGCCGAAAATTCCTACCCGGATTGCATCACATTATGGGAAATCGCATCTGTAGCGACTATCATTTAAATGAGAACACCTGAGAACTCACTATCGGTATTGTTCAGATTTATCATCTTTCCATCTCTAGTCCAAATGACGTCGTCTTCGCCTTGCTCTCCAGCAAATGAAATTGTGCAGTTTAGCAGCACCTCGTCGCCAGCCATATTCGCCATCAAACGAGTTCCTTTTTCTGAATACTAAGCTATTAGATCAGCGAAACGTGATAGTAACTTCTTAACTACCGTAAGTCATATTCATTTATAGCCAATAGTCGATTAGAAATGGAGATGTTTCCAATACTGATTTCGAGCTACACTTTAGAAAACAAACCTTGTTAAGTTAAAGTTTTCAAAACCTTTATTACCTTACCGAAATAGTCAGAAACCTACATGACAATTTATGAGCTTGCAATGAGGAGAATGATCACACAAAAAGATCCTTATTTTGGCAGTTATATGCAATATTTTTTTACAGTAGACCACTTTATGTCCGCATAAAAGAACGCCTGGGCGGATTGTTAGAAAGTCGAACAAGCCTCGTACACGTAGGACAGAAAGGCATAACACTGACGACTTCGACGTGCTGAATGAAATTTTGGGACACGAGTCAAACACGTCTCGAAAAGACTGTGAGACATTTCAGACAAATTTCAGTAATCCAGAAATGAAGAAATGGTAAGAGTTTGTGAACAAAACCAATTGTATTGCACTATTTTTCAGATCAGTTTCTAGTTTGAGTAGCAATGCGCCTCTATCGTGCATTAATCAACCCTGACACCTTTGATTCATTAAATCTTCTGATGCAATGGTGGGTAGAGTCGTCATTCCACACAAAGAACATGGATAGCCTTACACCTGACAAAACGGTAAGTGATTTTTCCTAATAAAATGGCATTTATGGATACAACAGGTTTTTATTGATACTAGAACCAGTCCATAAACTCATTTGATTAACGTTAAATAAATTATGTTTATGTTCTGAAGAAGGCGAAATTACCAAAACGTCAGACATTCACTATACGAAAGGGACCATTCATGGATATAAAATTCTTCGGTGAGCATAAAGACTCCATAGAATTTTCAAACGAATGAACAGTTGCTCAGTCACTTGAATAGATGACATATAGTGTGAGACAGAAATCTAATACGTTACAACTGCAGATTGATAATCATTCTCTAACTTGTCAGACTCTAGTTGTAAGTACATCAATAATCTCTTATGATTAACGACTCTCGCATCTCACCGTGTGATGAAACACTCCGCTACTAGATTTCTGCAAGTTGTTTTGTCAAACTTTGAGCATGCCCTTACTGCCACAACACGCAACAAGTATACTCTAACTTCTAAAGTTGATGTTCAACAAATAATCAAAGTCTGTCTTATTAACAAGAGTGCATTGGTGGGCTCCGACATCATCGGGCGAGATAAATAATTATTTACACATTAGCGCGTTAACTCTCTGGGGACCGCGTGTGTCTCTCTGAACTCACCATTTAGAGACATTCTTTGCTGGAAAGAACTATGGCACCAGATTTTTAGCAGTCATTCGGTAGGTTGAAAAACAGTGATAATAGTGCTACACTTGGTACTTGCAAAGACTTCAGTTCAAAAGCGAAGAAAAATTGCGTCACCCTTGGCGTGTATTGTATGCTTGGCTCTCGTCTATGGTTGACCCTTCACTAAAGTCCTAGTAGTCATTCGAAAGCTTGAGAAAACGATGATCCTGATATTAACCTAACCTTTTCATGAAGACTTCTAAGAGCAATGCAGCATTGGAAAGATATTACCCTTTAGAGTCGATAACCCGTGGCATGAACTACTTAGCGGGGTTATAAGGAATATAGAATAAAAATGATAAGCCTACCCAGTAGTGATCGGTAAAACAAATTTAGTTTTGTAGAAGTTTCAACTTTTCAGTATCGAAAAAATTTTTGAAAGTTTCAGATGGAATAATGTCACGTGAACACGGAGTTCCGCTTTTGACAAATTCGCACCTTCTTCACGCTCAAGAGTAATATACGAACAAATAGCATGGGTATAGAAAAACATGAAGTACTAAAGTAATAAGAAAACCTACAATTTATTTCAAAACGGAGAAAAAACCCTAATGAAATAATTAAAATTGCGCGCCGCCTGTGAATTGCGTTGCGCGCAGAGGCTTCAGCTGCAGTTGCGAAAGGGTTGACCAAAGAACATCAGGAAAAAAGGAGAAGTGACACTTTTGCCTCTCTAGAAATGTAGGGTAGATACGTGATTGCGTTCAGTATTGCTATTTATTACACTATTGATACAACACTTGTGGTGTTCGCCAAAACCATGGAATTGGAACACACTGACGTCAACGATTTAAGCGAGAGCACCACCATGCCTAGAGCAGTTTGAAGAGGCCCCCGATATCTGAATAGTGTAGGAAAGACGCGCAAAATCATTGACTACATCGGAGATATCTTCGAAGGAACGGGAAGTTTCAAAGCAGCTAGATCAAAAATTGAGAGGCCTAGAGGAAGAATCCAAAGATTACACTTATGCTTTTACGCAAATTTAATGAGTATCCTTCGTCCTTCCTATTCGTTTCTTTTTTAATTATCGTTGGACCCACTACACAACCATAGCATTGAACTTTGCTTAAATTTCAGAAACATAGATTGGCTAGACATTCTCAAAAAGGATTTTCTCGGTTCACGCTTTTCGAGAAACGAAATCACTCATATATAGTTCATATAAGTTGATTTTGAACATATAGAGAAGAACAGAGTTCTGAAGAAGGCGATGCTACCAAAATGATAGGAACTGAAAACCAAAATAAATGCCCTAATAAACTTCAGGACATCAAAAACAGTTTGTAAGCAAAATAACTTAATTGAATATCCAAATTAAAGAAACTTCTGTGTTTCGATGGGTTAAACTATTCCTAATGGCACCGGTTGTTGACCAAAGCCACGGAGCTCCCATTTTCTTACAACAAACATTGTATAAATTCTATAAATTCTATGATTTAACTTCCATTCACTTTAACGCCAATTGATCTTGAAAAGAGATTGCCCTTAGGGATTTCCTATCACTGAGATGAGTATTCATTAGAGAATGAAAATTTTAATCTTAGCTCCTTCTGCAAAAGAAAAGAAGATTTGATGGAAATAGGCAGTCCGTGGTAAAAAGTGCAAAGTGACAAAATGAAAATGAAAACCCTTCAAAAAAGAGGAATAAAAAATAATGAACCACTTACTGTGATTTGATGCCACCGGAGGAGTCGGTTCTAAAAATAGAGTCAAATAATTACCTATAAGTAAAGCAGAAAGATTTTGTCTAATGTGATGCTGAGATTAAAAAAAATTTTGAAAGCTCTAAATAACAGTTGGTCTATTTCGATTTCAGCCGTGAGAAATATCAAAAGTACTAGACATAAATAAGAATTTTTCCTACCAAAATAATTATTGAAATATTTAAAAAGAAGCAAAGACACAGGTTTGCAGAGCATAAGATAGAAAGAACACAAAGAATTTCAAGGAGCATTAGGACCTCTGATTGACAGAGGCATTCATCAGTATTTTGCAACATCCT